ATTTTATTTATATTACATGTTACTGAGTTATATCCTTTGGTATATACATACCTAGATATTTAATGGATTCAATACAAATATGGAATTGATATTCCTTAAATGAATGGGTAACCAAATTTTCTCCTATTGGCATCAATTCCGATTTGGGCCAGTTAATAGAGTATCCTGCTATTTCACTAAAGCCATCTATCTTTTGCATTAACACTGGAATAGTAGTAATGAAGTTTAGAAATAAACAAAAGAATGTCGTCTGCAAATAAAACCAATTTGTGTTCAACTGAGTTGTGTACTGCAATATTTTAATTCCGTATCAATATTTAAAGTTGATTCTTCTGCCAACTTTTATGAACTGATCATACAGGTTGAAAATTACAAGACAGATGGGTAGAATAATAGGCTTCAAACAGGAAAAAATGGTGGCAAGAAAAGAGTTAAGCAGACGTTCCCCTGATGGTTTCATGTACCAGTCTGTTCCATTCATTAAAAAAATTCTGTTAGGAAATGAGAGTGATGGTGATGGTGGTGGTGATGATGACGATGATGATGATTGTTGCACTGTCATATCCATCTGCCATGTATTACCTATTTTGTCCACAAACGGAATATCTGTTTACATTGCTTTGCACCTCTACTTCAGCCCTAACTGAAAATTAAATGTCTTGATCAGAAACTTTCCACCAAATGTGTTCTTTCATCTAATTTTGTTATATTTCATGGTTAGTCTTTATTGTTTTCTATAGATGACTATAAGCTTCCCCAACCTGAGACATCCATATATATTGGGGAAACCATACCATAATTCTTCCCGGCCAGCATGAGAATTGTTGAAGTTGTTGTTTGTACTCATGAGGTTCACCAAGTTGGACAAGTGATTGGGTTATCCTTTGATTTCAGAATACGTAAAGCTGGATGACACTTCATGGAGTGGCTGCCAGATTTCAGCAGTGTCCCTTCTTTTCTCATACATATATTATATGTTTATTCTGTAGAAAATAGGTTTAGTAGGTACTATTATTTATTGATTGGAGTTTGATGCTCAAGCCCAGGTTGAAACTCTCATGAGTCAACGTCCTGTTATTTTCTCTGAAACTAAAGTGACCAATGTCAGTGGGTCATTGTTACTGTTATTTCAGATGCACAGTGATTATCAAAATATATGATTTCCCACTAAAAGTTGGTGGTTTGTAGAAACATAGCAAAATCTATAAGCAAGAGGTATGAAACAGCAGGAGCTTCTATATTCAATGCTTGGCTTTTAAAAATACTCTTGCCCTCATATCATCTGTGATATAGGGATATCTGTTATATAATGCTTATAATTAAAACTGAGGTTTGGAGTGTTGTTTATCCAAATGTCATCTGTGACAATACTTTACAATCAATGAATCATGGTTGATTCCTTGCTGAATATGGAAAGTGAATATTCTTTTTAATTGAACAAGGATGAATAACCCGTGGTTCTCAAGACATTTATTTATTTATTTGATTGATTGATTGATTGATTGATTGATATAGCCTTCCATCTCATTTTTACGTGACTCTAGGTGGCTTACAATAGAACAAATAAAAACACAAAATATATAATATAAAACCAAAATAAAAACACATAGGCACTGAGGACAATCCAACTTATCCATACAACCAGTCTAACCCAAGCCCAGGAACCTAGTCAAGCACAAAGCCAGATTTTCAAGGCCTAATGAAAGGCTAACAGGGACAGAGCCAGTCTAATTTCAGGGGCAATGATGTTCCAAAGGGCTGGTGCCACAGTAGAAAAGGCTGTTCTTCTGGGCCCTGCCAGCTGACACTCCCTAGCTGATGGCACCCGGAGCATGCCCTTCTTGCCAGATCCAGTAGGACAGGTAGAAAAAATGCTAAGTACCCCTTCCAGGATCCCAGATCACCCACCATTGTTTATATTGGCTGAACTGTTAGCAATCATAATTCAACACCATCTATAAGACCATAGATTCAGAATGAATTGTAAGTCATTGCATATTCAACCTATAGGGTACATTCTAAGCAGTGTTCCAGCTTGATGTGTGTTGGACTATATGTGTTGGACTAACTTATATAACAACCAAGGTCATATTGACTGAATATTTTAAGAGTTGAAATAAAATACATCTGGAGAACATTAGATTGGGGAAAGCTGTCTTGGGGTCACTTAAGTTCATGATGTGAACTTAAAAAATGGCAAGGTTTTGGGACCAAGAAATGCCATATAGAAAAAGAGAGGGGTTAATTAGAACTCAGGATTCCAGATAGACAAGGCACTGGTCTATTGAACAATACCAATCAGCATTAGTTTATTGTATTTTATGATATCCTGGATGAGACAAACGTCTTGATGAGAGAAAAGGTTCAGCACTTGTTACAATATTGAAATAAGCTTTATATTTCTAGAAGCCAAAGGAACAACTTAAATACACATTTATTCTAAACTAATATAGTTACACATAACTGCATATAGAAGAAAAATATGTACATTTACATCACGAACTAACAGTGATCATATTAAATTGATTCTCAGGGTGTAAGGGTTGAAAAAAAAGTCAAATATCTGAATAGGCATGGGGTAGGGGGTAAATGTGGTCCCTGGGCTACAAGCTGTAAATTCAGGGATTAGAAGCAGCAGTGGTCCACATGAGATTGTTATACATGTATACACATAAAGAAAACTAGACAAAATGTCCAGTGTATATTACTGACTCCCTGTATCACCTTCTGTTCATCTTATTCACTATTTTCATACTGCTTTCTGAAGGACCTTGTTGCTTCTCAGTAAGAAAATATTGGAAACTGCCTTACCCATGGGCCTATTTTCTATATCTTTCAACAGTTCTGAGTAGGAACTCAGGGAATGTGCCTAGAGATGTCAGAGATGGAATGTGGGAGTTTATGCATGCAAAGCCCTTGTTCTGTCACTCACATATAATCCTAGGCAAAATCAGCAGACATCCATAATATATTGTCCATCACAGTTGATCTCCACCCAGTGTAATGTTGCTGAGGATCTTTTTAGATGTTTACTGCCTGGCCCAGAGGAAGGCTCTGCAGCAGATAAGACTTCTGTATACATTCAATCTTGTACCATCTAGATGTTTTAAACTGTAACGTCTCAGGGTAACATTGCCTGTTGGCTCAGTGCTTCCTCATCAGGCAAGTTGCTATGGAAAGAGTTACTAAAAGATACGAAGTTTGAAAACCAAGGCTCTATTTCAGTGTATTGATATGACAGGTTTACCATGTTTTCTCCTTAGACTCCTTTGAATTGGCAACCTTCATTCTTCATCTCAAAGCATTTCCAATTCATTCTTTCTGTACCCAAAGCGAATGAATAACAATGACATTAAATGCTGTAATAGTAGGACTTGACTGCATTGTGTGTTTGCCAGTATCCATAATTAGATTGACATATTATGTGAGCTAAATTGATTGCAGGGATGAAGGAAGGAGCAGCTTAATTTTTGTGTGCTTTAAAACGAACTGTTCCCTAAAGGAGTTGCCCATATTGTTGAGAAATGCCCATCTCAGTTTTGACATCAGTTGACATAGTATAGCCCCTTTAGCCCTTAGTTGCTTCCTTGCTCTCCTTCCACACTCTTTTCCTAGTTAGGAATGGAACCATCTCTGATTTTATTATTAAATGCTCATATTCACACATCAACCAGTATAGAAATCCACTTCCTTTCTGCATTCCATATCCCCAGGCTTCAGGCATAAAAAGCAAATTTCTATAAATTGAGGGAGAGGGCATATCTTCCTGTTCTGTTTGAAGTACCAATATTTTTTTTCTTATAATTTCAGATGGAAAGAAATACAATTTGGGGGGAGAGCAAATACTGTGTTACAAAGCTTTAAAAAGATTGCAGTTTGACTAAAGCAAGTCCGTGATCTTTTCTGTGTAACAGGCAAGTTTGAAGAATTGCTTTTAATTCTTAATTGCTTTTAAGGTTAATCATCCTTTAAATGAAGAGGGAAAAACTTCTTTAAATATTTAGATGCTTGTCACAAAATCTTAGCACTCATGTCTTGATATCTCTGCTCTTCAGCTTGACTGAGCAGCTTGAATCCAGTAACTGTGTGTTCGGAGGGAAGATCTCCCATCACCAGAAGATGGGAGGTTCGTCTCATGTGAGGGAGCGTGACTGGTCAGCATGGTTGTCATCATGTAAGCAAGGTCTTCAAACTGAGAATGGGAATGATCGGTGCTGAAGGATCTGTGCTCTCTCTCTAGCACCTGTTCAACAAGAATACCCTGACAGAGAGAGCTATATTTGTGATCTGACAACTAGGCTTACATTTGTAAATATACATTTAACATGGGTGTATCTCAAGGCATTGTTCTGCATTTCTGTTCCTATCACGACAGAAGCAGAAATTGGCTGTAAAAGAGAGTTGGACTGCTAGAAACATGAAGAGTGCTAACATCCTGCCAGATGTCTCAACAGCCTTCAGTAACATCAACCATGGTATCCTTCTGGACCATCTGTAACAGTTGGGAATTGGGGCACTGTTTTATGGTGGCTCTGCTCCTTCCTGAATAGGCAGTTCTAGTCACTGTGTGTTGAACCTTCTGGCATTTCTGTATGATATATCATAAAGCTTGACTCTCTTGTCTATTTTATTTAAAGCCTAATGAAAGCACTGGGTAAAGTAATCCAACCATCTGGAATTTGGTATCATCAATATACATCAAGCCCAGGCCATCCAGGAAATGCCATGGAAGTCGTGATCTGGTGTCTGAAGGCTGTGAAGATCTGGATGGAGAGAAACAGGCTGAGATTAATCCCACAGAGTGGTTGTGGATCTAGAAACCAATTGAATCTGGGACAATATCTAATTTAGTTCTGTTTGGAGCTATGCTCCCTTAGCACATTCTAGTGCCTCTGGATTATCAGCTCCTGCTGGAACCAAGCTAGAAGGCCGGTCTTCTTGCCCAGCTCTGCAGCCGGTCTTGGAAAAGAAGGCCCTGGCAATAGTCACTCATGCCCTTAACACCTCAGAGGTCGTCTGCTATAATGTGCTCTACAAAGGCTGCTCTTGAAGAGCATCCAGAAAGTGGCAACTAGTGTAAAGTGCAAAAGCCCGCATATGAATGGGAGCCACCTGGTTTTACCATGTAACACAAGTACTGCAGGAGATGCATTGGTTGCTGGTATATGTTTCTGGATGCAATTCAAGGTGCTGGCTGTAATCTTTGAAGTCCTATGTGGTTTGGTCACTTATGAGGCTGCTTACTCCAAACAGAATCTGCCCACCTAAGGAATGCCAGAAGGAAGAGCTTGCTGAGAGTCCCCACTACTCACGAGATGCAGGGAACTCAGAGGGGAGTGTTCTTTGCAGGAGCCCCCGCCAGATGGAAGATGCTTTCACTTTGACATGTAAAAAGCTCTTGAAAACTTGCCTCTTGAAAAAAGCATTTGGGGACCCAGTCATGCATAATGGGAGTTCCCTAGGACATGTAAGGTTATGATGCTTTATGATGCTGAGTTTTGTGATGAATGGATATGATTTAAAGCATTATGATATGATATGGCGATAATATTTTTATTTAAATACAGTAATACCTCGGTTCACGAACGCTTCTGTTCACGAACAATTCAGTTCATGAACAGCACCGTTCGCAAAATTTTGCTTCCGTTCGTGAACTCCGCATCAGGTGATGAGCACGACCCGCGGCCATTTTCCCTGCTGTGACACGTGGTCGTGGCTTCCTGTAGGGAGGGGGACTCTCCCTCCA